GCCCAGAACTAAAAGAATTCCTGAGACCAACTCTTCAGACAGGGATTGGATGGACTGTGGGACATAAAGTGATACTCGTGAGGAGTGTGCCTCTTAGCTCAAGTAGATACAAGAGACTAAACGGGCAGCTTCTGTCTGGAGGTGAGATGGGAAGGCAGAGAGGGTTAGGAGCTGGTTGAATGGACATGGGGAGTCAGGGGTGGAAAGGAGGAGTGTGCTATCACACTATGGGGAGAGCAATTAGGGTCACATAACAATGTATGTATAAATTTCTGTATGGGGAAAAAAGGAAAAACGGCCACATGAGGATGGAGTTATCATGCCGCTGCAAGCCAGGGAATACCTGGGCTCACCAGAACCTAGGAAAGGCAAGGAAGGATCTTTCCCTAGAGCCTTCAGACAGGATGCAGCCCTGCTGACACTGTAATTCGGACTTCCGGCCTCCCAATTTGCGGTATTTTCTTACAGATGCCCTAGGATGTGAAGACACTCACTAAGCAGGTGACATGAGCCAAGCCTTTTAGAAAACCTGTCCTTTCAGGAATAAAACAGCTTTACCAAAGCTGCTGGAAATATACCACTAAAAATGGTAAGACAATCATTTCGTGTGAGTAAATCACACTAGCACAGGCTGAAAACAAATTTATGCTTTTAAGAAAAGGCAAAACTTGGAAGGCAGACAGATTTTCTCACATGAAGGCAAGGGGGAAGAAAAGTGTCAAATCACAAGAAGAAGGACAAGTGAGAGATTGGAAACTTCACCCCAAACCAATAGGCTTTCAGATAATTCACCAAGAGCTGGAGACAAAATGTTAAAAATTCATGACAGCAATGACAAAAAGGCAGAGCTGGCACAAGATGCTGAAAATGAGTCAGTAAGTAACACCAACAAAACCAAACCCATTTTGACTCACAGCGACCCCATACATTGCAGAGGAAAACGGCGCAGCAGAGGGTTTTCAAGGAGTGACTTTTCGGAAGCAGATCGCGAGGCCTTTCATGTGAGGCTCCTCTGGGTGGGTTCGAGCTGCCAATCTTGTGTTTAGTAGTTGAGTTGCCAAAAGGTGGAAACAATCCACGTGCCGATCAACCGATGGAAATGCGAGAACAAATTTGGTATATCCATATAATGGAATATTATTCAGCCATAAAAAGGAACATAGTACAACATGAATGAACCTCAAAACCATTATGCTTAGGAAAATAAGGCAGACACAAGAGGACAAACGTTGCACGATTCCATTTACATGAAACGTTCTGAATGGGTAAATCCACAGCGATAAAACAGATTATTGTTTATCCAGGGCTGGGAAGAGAGTGGAATGAGTAAACAAAAGAAACCAAACCCGTTGCCGTCAAGTCAATTCCAACTTGGAGCAACCCCGTAGGACAGGGTAGAACTGCCCCATAGGGTTTCCAAGGCTGTAATCTTTACAGAAGCAGACTGCCACATCTCTCTCCCACAGGGTGGCTGGTGGGTTTGAACTGCTGACCTTTTGATTAGCAGCCAACTGCTTAACCACTGCACCACCAGGGCTCTTTGCTTAATGGGTATGGGGTTTCCTTTTGGTGATGGCAATATTTTGTAACTACAGAGAGGTGATGGTTGCACAACGCTGCAAATGTACTAAATGCGGCTGAATTGTTCACTTTAAAATGGCTAATTTTATTATAGGATTTTTACATTAATTAAAAAAAAAAATCTGCCCTACCATTATAAAAACGAGCACCCCGAGGACAAGATAGGCCATGGCACTTACAAAATGCTCTATAAACACCTGTGGACTTCATTAAGAAATGCATTCTCATTTTCCAAATGAGGAAATTGAGGTCCAGAATAGTTCAGAGACTTGCCCACAGTCACACAGCTGGTTAGTAACAGAGCCAGGATTCAACTCCAGGCGCTATGTCGCCACAGCTCAGCTTCAACAGATTTTTCCTGAAAGAATAAAAATCACAAAAGAACCTCATATTTATTGAGAGAGCTATTCAACGGCAACTGGTTTGTTTTTGGGTTTTTTGTTTTTTAATTTTTTTTTATCATACTTTAGATGAAGGTTTATAGGACAAATAGTTTCTCATTACACAGTCAGTACAGATACTGTTTTGGGTTTTTTGTTTTTTTAATATGCACTGGGCATTTTATATATGTTATCTCATCAACTCCTTGCAAGAGCCTCACTGTTCAAATGTGCCCCCATTTTACACATGAGAAAACTGAGGTCCAGACTAGGAAAGTAACTTGGCCAAGGACACACACACAGCAGCAGAGCGGAGGATCTGAAGCTGAGCCTGTCTCTACTGCTTTAACCCAACAGCTTTACAAGGAGAGTCACAAAATTTATGAGAGAAACTCCAGATGACTCAGAGCAAATGAACCAAACTTTTTCAAAGGTGAATTGCAAGCTTACCAAACAGTGCAGCAAGTCCCAAATGACCAAAAGATTGAACACACATACACTCACTCACACATACACACGGGATAGTTGTTAGAAATACTTCTTATTCACTGAAACACTTGGAGTTGGACCAGGCCGGGCATCGACAAGTGAATTATTTATATTTGGCTGAGGATGGGGATGGGGACAGGTCAAGTTTCTGAGCACCCCTTGAGGAGTCACCTTGGGAGTTAGGAGCCCAGGAGTAGAGGGCAGGGAGCTAGAAGAGCTAGGACGTGAGGTGACCTGGGTGAGAGAGGAGACAGGCTGGCTGACGCCTCCCTCACGGGCCCTTTCCACTGCATTCTCCCTTGGGCCTGTTTACCATTCAGGTTTAATAACACATATTGACCATTTACTCTACTCCAAGCACTTAACACACCTATCTTCCTGAACCCTCCATCTAGGTTTGCTGTTAGGTGCCATCGAGTCGGCTCCGACTCATAGCGACCTCATGTATAAAAGAACAAAACACTGCCCAGTCCTGTGCCATCCTCACAATGGCAGGTACATCTGTGCCACTGTTGCACCACCGTGTCTGCCAGTTTGTTGTACTGCAGTGGTTTGCGTGTTGCTGTGATGCTGGAAGCTATGCCACCGGTATTTCAAATACCAGCAGGGCCACCTAGGGTGGGAAGGTTTCAGCGGAGCTTCCAAACTAAGACAGACTAAGAAGAAGGACCTGGTGATCTACTTCCGAAAAAAATTAGCCAAAAAAAAAAAAAAAACTTATGGATAACAACACAACATTTCCTGGTACTGTGCTGGAAGATGTGCCCCTCAAGTTGGAAGACACTCAAAATAACCCTATGGTTACTGATCCCATTTTATAGGTGAGGAAACTAAAGTTCAGAGAGTCCAAAAGACTTGCCCTGTGTCACACAGCAAGCAAATGGCAGAACTCAAATTCAAACTGAAGACTAATTGAGTTCTCAAGTCCAGATCCTTACTCACAACACTGCACTAAGTATGAGGAGAAACCCGTTGCTGTCGAGTTGATCTTTTTCTCCCACCGACCCTATTACAGGACAGGGTAGAACTGCCCCACAGGGTTTCCAAGGCTATAATCTTTATGGAAGCTGACTGCCACATCTTTCTCCCGTGGAGCTGCTGGTGGGTTCCAACTGCCAACCTTTTGGTTAACAACCAAGTGCTTAACCACGGAGCCACCAAGACTCCTAGTACGAGGAGAGGGGACTGGATAACAGTGGTGAAAATACAGATTCTGAACCAGGCTGCTTGAGTTGGAATCCTGCAACTACCACTTAATGCTGGGTGACCTTGGGAAAGCTGCTTGACTTCTCTGTGCCTCTGATCGCTTTCTGTAAATGGAGATTACAGCAGCCCCTACACCTTAGGAATGTTGTTGGAATTAAATGAGTTAATCCACACAAACAGCTAAAGACAGGGCCAGGCACTTGGTAAACAGTGTTCAAGTGTTAACCTAATCGGCTGCGGGGAACCCCTGCATGCTTCAGGGGTGGGGTGTGCCCACATTCGTGCCAGTTTTGAGAAAATGCCTTGTGCGGCTAGACTAAAAGGGAGGGAATCACTTAGCACCTGTGACCCAGTCACATTTCTGGGGTGGGGAACTGCCCACCAACAGCTCTGAGACGGAGGACTGAGCCAGGGCTCTCCCACTAACACCAGCGATCTTAAGGATCCTCCCTTTAACCTTCTCTCGGTGGCATGCTTGTTGTTCCCACGATACAGATAAGGGCACTGAGGCTTATAGAGTGGAGGCTTGCCCAGGTCACAAAGGAGTGGCAGAATAAAGAGATCTAAATGCTGGACTGCTCAGACAGATAAACCACTTTTCTAAGTCCCACTAGGCAACTAAGGGTGCAAAAGAGTCTCTATGGCCCCTTCTGTGACTGTTCAGTTCATCAGGTGTCTCTGGCTGGACTAAGCAAACTATCACTACCTCCAGGCCCCTAACGCCCCCGCTCCCGACGCTACCCCAGTCCTAGCGCACAACTATTGATTTTTCTCTCCGACCTCCTCAACTTGCTCTCCTGCCCCCAATATGATACAGAGAACCCAAGCCACCCCATTACGGCTGCCTTCTCTCTCAGAGCCCCCAGAACCTCGCACTTATCTAGTCCGGACCTCCATGATTTTCACAGCACCCAGAGTAACCCCCTCGAAACTGCCCCTTTCGGAGCCTATGCCTGCACGCCTAGGCTCTTTTCCAACTCGGGCCCCCTTCCCCAGCTGAGTGCCCTCACAGCCAATCCCAAAGCTCGACTCTCTCCCCACCTACAAAACTCCCTCCCCCAGCCCCCATTCTTCTACTGCTTCCTCCAGCTCCCATTCCTCCCAACCCCCTCCCCCAAGCGATCTCCCCTGGCCCAACCCGTTCCTTGGCCCCTGCCTCTTCCCTCTCACCACCCAGTCCCGAACTCCCGCCCTGGCTCTCCGGCGCCCCCGTCCCCCGCCAGGCGTTCTCACCATCTCCCAGCGCTGCGGCTCCCTCGGCTACGCGAGTTTCCCCGACTCGTTCTTCTCTTGCCTCCCCTTCCGGGTTCCCGCCCCAACGCCCGCTGGGAATTGGAGTCTCGCATGGCCACGGACTACATCTCCCAGAAGGCAGCATGGGCCAAGCCTGGAGGTGGGGAAAGTTGCAGGAGAGGCCTGTTGAGGAAAAGAATGACTCTAACTCCCAGGAGGAAGGGGGGCACCCGCGAGGTGCGCTGGGAAATGTAGTCCAGCCTCCACCATTTTGGCCCGGGGTCCTTGGAAAGGGAGTTGAGAAAATTACGAAGGGGCGTTTGTATAGCGGAGAGTTGGGAAAAACAAGCTTATTGATTTACGTGTGCTGGTTAACATAATAATTAACAGCGCCTTGTGCTTTTCCAAACACGTTTCCTCCATTTTTTCCCCATGTTCCTCCTACTAAAACCAGTTGCCATATAGTGCACTCCAACTTATGAAGAACTTACCCCCGTGTGTCCGAGTAGAACTCTGCTTCATAGGGTTTTTTTAATTGTAAAAAATACGTATGACAAAACATTTGCCAATTCAACAATTTTTATATGTATAATTCAGTGATACTGATAAGGTTCTTCATGTTTTGCAACCTTTAGCACTATCCTTTTCCAAATTATACCACCAACATAAATAGAAATTCAATGCTCCCTAAGCCATGACCGCCCGTTTTCCCCTCCCATCCTTGGTAACCAGCAGTAAGCTTCTGTCTCTATGCATTTCCCTATTTCTTGTAAGCGGGATCTTTCACTCAGCATGTTTTCAAGGTTCGTGCACGCATGTATCAGGACTCAATTTCTCTTTATGGCTGAATAATATTCCATTGTACTGTGTATGTACATATACATGGAGCCGCGCTGGCACAGTGGTTAAGAACTCAGGCTGTTAACCAAAAGATCGGCAGTTCAAATCCACCAGCCCAACCACATTTTGTTTATCCATTCATCTACTGATGGACATTTAAGTTGTTTCCATGTTTTGGCTATTGTGAATAGTGCTGCAATGAACAATGGTGTACAGGTTTCTGTTTGCATTCCTGCTTTCAATTCTTTTGGAAATATATTTAGGTTTAGGATTGCTAGGTCATGTGGAAGTTCTAAGTTTAACTTTTTGAGGAACTGCCAAAATGTTTTCCACAGTGGCCGTACTATTTTTCATTTCCAACAGCAATGGATGAGGATTTCAATTTCTCCACATCCTTGCCAACACCTTTTCTTTTCTTTTTTTAAATCATAGCCATTCTTGTGGAGGTGAGGTGGTATCTGATTGTAGTTTTGATTTGCATCTCCATAGGTGGCATGAATGGTTAAGGCTAACCAAACGGTTGGCGGTTCGAACACACTCAGTGGCACTTGGAAGAAGGGCCTGCTGATCTACTTCTAAAAAGTCACAACCACTGACAACCCTATGGAGCACAGTTCTACTCTGACACACGTGGAGTTGCCATGAGTTAGAATCAACTCCATGGCAACTGGTTTCTTTTGACTAATGATGTTGAGCATTTTTCATGTGCTTGTTGGCCATTTGTCTATGGGGTTTTCAATAGCTGTTTTTCAGAAGTAGATCACCAGGCCCTTCTTCGGAGGTGCCCCTGGGTGGACTTGGACCTTCAGTGAGCAGCGGACTGCATTAACCATCTGCAACACCCAGAGATTCCTTCCTACCTACTTGTTGTTGTTAGATGCCATTGAGTAGCCTCCAAATCCTGGCAACCTTATCTATAACAGAAGGAAAAGGAAACGTTGTCTGGTCCTGTGCCATCTTAATGCATCCTACCTACTAAAAACCCCAAAACAAACCCCTTACCATCGGTTCCAACTCATAGCGACCCTACAGGACAGAGTAGAACTGCCCCATAGGGTTTCCAAGGCTGTAATCTTTCCGGAAGCAGATTACCACATCTTTCTCCTTCGGAGCGGCTGGTGGGTTCAAACTGCCATGTTTCAGTTTGCAGCCGAGGGCTTTACTCACTGAGCCACCAGGGCTCCTTCCCTACCTACTACCACCTCCCAATTTACAGACAAGAAAATTAAGTCTTAAGAGAGAAGAAACCCCCTGATATAGGTCATGATGTGCATTAGGAATCATAGTTACAAAGGAAGCTCCAAGAGGGCAAGGATCTTTGTGTATCTTGTTCAAACACCTAATGAAAAACAAACCCGTTGCCTTCCAGTGGATTCTGACTCATTGCTATCCTAGAGGCAGAGTAGAGCTGCCCCACAGAGTTTCCAAGGAGCAGCTGGTGGATTCAAACTCCAGACCTTTTGGTTAGCAGGCAAGCTCTTAACCACTGCACCACCAGGGCTCCTTTATGCACCTAGAACAGTGTAAATATGTGTGCTGAGTAAATATTTTTTGCATGCTAACTACTTATATGCCAGGCACCCTGCAAATAATCCTAGTAAGAATTATCTCCAATTTATGAAAGTTAAATCAGAAACAAGTTAAGCCTCTTGTCCGTGGCAACACAGCAAAAAAGTGATTTGAATCTAAATGTGTTAGACACCAGGGCCTCTACTCTTGACTAGGACGTTAGATTGCCTCCGTTTAAGAGATATTTTCCAGTCCGTTCTCCTCAAGGTCCGTGAGAACGAGCGTTCTAAAATGCAGAGGTTGCGCTACCAAGGAACATATCTTTTTGAGAGGAAGTGCTACTAAAGCCCAATTTAAACGCCTTCCTCTTTGAATCCTTTCCCAATTTATCGTTCTCTCCTTTAATGTAGCCCGTCTTACTGCATTCCCATTATCTGTGAGTCTGTCTCTCTGATTGCGCTAGGAAGATTATGGCTGTGTCGCCAGCGTCCAGCGCGCAGTGTTTGGCATACAGTAGACCCTCATTAGGTATGCACCAAACGGAAGGTTAGAAGCGGGACACTCAAGGGCCAGAAGGGAGGTTGGTGAGATCTCTCCTTCCTGAGAGTTGGCAGTTGGGGAGGCTCCGCCTCCTCCGAAGGCTCCAAGAGCCCGGGACCCTAGAAGTTTCCCGGGAGCGTGGTTAAGGCGGGGGCGAGGCGAGGGGCGTGGCCCACCGAAAACGCGGGCAGTGGAGTGAGCGCTGATTGGTCGGCACTTTGGCGCGCGCAGGGAAATGCCTTGTCTAGAGGCGCGAGGCCGGCGAGCGCTGTGAAAGAAGACAAGGCGCTTTCCCAGCCGCGCGTGCGCGCCGGGCCACTTGCACCCTGCCCTTTCCTCTCTCTTGGTGCGCCCTGCACACTTACCTTCGCAGGACCTGCTGGGGGCGTGGCCTGCGCATGAGGCGCGCGCTCCTCTCCTCCTGAGGCCTCGCACCCGGCCTCACGCCCAGGGCATTCGCACCCTCCTCAAGCCGGGCGAACGTGGAGGCCAGGGCGGCCCGGGGCTCGAGCACGCGGCCTGCTCCCTGGGACCAGCGCTGACGCCGCTGTCCGATCGGGCTCCCACGTGTGGGGCTGCTGTGAAGCCAGAAGGGGGGCCTCGCGCCATTTTGCACGTCCTGAGGCGGGTGCTGGAGGCAGAGGGGAATGGGGCGGGGAGACTCCCCTGGGCTCAAGGGGAGCCTGTGGTTTGCTCGGGAAAGGTAGCTTTGCGACCAAAGCCTTCCTCTGGGGCTTCCGGGGGACAGCAAGGCCGGCGTGCTTGGGGTGCAGGGTAGTGGGTGAGGAGGGCCAGGGCAGCAGGGCCAGAATTTGAGTTTGGGGTTGGTCTCGGCTTGGGGATCCAGGCTGAAGTCTGAGATATCGAAGGCCCTCTTTGAGTGTGTTGGGGCTCTGGGGTCTCAGAATTTGTGTCTGGGGAGAACTCTCCTTTTGGAGTCTGAAGGTATCGGTTTTAGTGATTGGAAGCTTTAGTGTTGGAATCTGGAGGTACGAATTTGGGCACCCGCAAATCTTAGTTATGCGTTCTGGAGGACCATTTTGAGGTCTGAGGTCAGCTTTGTGGGGATTGAGGCCTTAGTGTAGATTTGGGGTCTGGAATCTCTCTATAAAGTTTGGACTCTGAGATTTTGAGCCTAGGGTTATAGTTTGGGACTTTGAGGATTCCTTTTTAGGACCTAGAGTCCCCACGTTGAGTATGGGACTTCAATTTTAGGATCTGAAGTCTCAGTGTGATGCTCACACGTGTGATCTCAGTTTTAGGGTTGGAGTCACAATTAGAAGGTCTGCAGTGATGGTTTTTGGGTCTAGAGGTCTTTAGGCTCTGAGGGTAATTTTAGGAACTGAGGTTTGTTTGAGGACGCCTGAATTTCTTACTTTAGGATCTGAGTTCTCAGTGTTAAGTTTTGTGGACTGTGATCCTGATAGTAGGATTGTGGTCATCTTTGGGGATCAGAAATAGACAGTTTGGGAGTCTAAGGTATCTCGGTATTAGAGTTTAGGGCTTTTAAGTTCAGGCAGTGTCGTTCTGGGGCTCAGTGCTTCACTTTTAAAGTCATAGTTCTAGTGTCTTTACATCACAATTTGGGGTCTCAAGCCATAGTTTTTCAGTCTGGTGGTTTCCATTTCAGGGTCTGGCATCTATTAGGATCTAAGTTCGAAAGTCAAAGTCTGGGAATTTGTTGATTTTAGTTTTAGACCCAGATTATGATTTGGGGGCCCAAATTTACAATTGGGATCTGGGAACTTCAGTTTAGGGTTTTGGGGTTTTAGTTTGGGTCTCTGGGCCTGTATTTGTGGGAGCTGGGAACTCTATTTTGAGATCTCTGGAGGCTCAAAGGAGCACCATCGGGAAAATGAAGGGTGCTCATCACACTGCCCTGGAATCCCAGAAGTTACTAATAATTCTTTTTCCCTCTTTGCAGATGTGGGATTCCAGCGGAGACTTGTGTTCCCCTGAATGGCCCACGGCTAGTTCCCTGGGTCCCAGTGACAGGTATGGGCTCCCCCCATCTCTTTTACAGCTCCAGCCACTCTGTTTACTTATATGATATCCTTTACAACAACCCCATGAGGAAGTAAGTGCAAGTATTATTCCTGTTTTCCAGATGAGCGAATTCTGAGGGAGTTGGCAGGCTTTGACATTCTGAGTTTCTTAAATACTTTTCCTTCTTTTACTCATTCATTGTTTTCTTCATCAAGCACCTACTCAGTGTCAGAATCATTCTTTTTTTTTTTAATTTTATTTTATTGTGGTGAAAATAGGAGCCCTGGTAGCTCAGCGGTTAAGTACTCAGCTGCTAACCAAAAGGTCAGCAGTTTGAACCCCAGCCATTCCATGGGAGAAAGATGTTGCAATCTGCTTCCGTAAGGATTTACAGCCTTGGAAACCCTGTGGGGCAGTTCTGCTCTGTCCTTTAGGGAATGCTGTGAGTCAGAATCGACTTGACGGCAATGGGTTTGGTTTTTTGGGTTTGTGGTGAAAATATCTGTAATAAAACATATGCCAACTCAACAATTTCTACATGTACAATCCAGTGACATTGATTACGTTGTTCAAGTTGTGCAACCATTCTTGCTTTTTCCGAATCATTCCGTCACCATTAACATAAATTCACTGCCACCTAAGCAAAAATTTCCCCTTTCCCCCTCCCTCTCCCACTCCTGGTAGCCACTAATAATCTTTAGTTTTTATATATTTGCTTATTTCATATAAGTGAGCTTATACAGTATTTGTCCTTTTGCAACTGACTTATTTCATTCAGCATGATAGTTTCAAGGTTCATCCATGTAGTGGCATGCATCAGGACTTCATTTCTCTTTATGGCTGAGTTGTATTCGTATGTACCACATTTTTCCTTCACTTTTTAACTCAAAAGTTCAGCATCTACTTTGTTCAGGTTCTCTACTTGGGTACTGAGCTTAGAAGGAGCGCCATGGCGAAATCAAAGAGTGCCTGTCTCGCTGCCCAGTCCTCCTGGAATCCCAGAGGTCACCAACAGTTCATTCTCCGTTTTCCCCCTTTCTAGATATGGGGTCATTGTATTAGTGAAGACTCTTAGTTGCAATGAACAGAAACTTAAACAGGCTTGTGCATAAAAGGGGACTTATTGGATCCTGTAAATAAAAAATTCAGGGGCGTCAGGCTCTGCAGGTTCCAGGGTGCGGGTTAAATGATGGTGCCACGAATCTGCCTCTCTTGGCTTGCTTGTGTCTGTTTGCTTCCCTCTCAAGCAGGCTCGTGCTTTGTAAGGGCAAGATGGCTCCCAGCAGCTCCCGCTCCACAGCCTGCCGGCAGAGAGAGCCTCTTTCCAGGATTGTCTCTGATTGGCCAAACCTGGGTTATAACCACAACCCTGAACCAATGACTGTGATTCTTATTGGCTGAGCCTTGGTTCTGTGCACTGAAGGGGAAGGGCAGGACGGGAAAAGCCTCCGAGCCACATGGACTGAGAGTGGCTGAGAGGTGGTTCCCCACAAGAAAAATGGAAGTGCTATTACCAGAAGAAGGAGTCTGTGTGTGGTGCGAACAGTTAAGCCCTTGGCTGCTAACTGAAAAGTGGATGGTTGGAACCCACGCAGAAGCCCCTCAGAAGAAAGGCCTGGCAATCTGCCTTCAAAAGGTCACAGCCATGAAAACCCTATGGAGCACAGTTCTCCTCTAACACGTGGAGTAGCCATGGGTTGGAGTGGACTCAACAGGAGTTGTTTTTATTTTTACCAGAAAAGGTGGGACTGGATGTTGGTCAAGCAAAACAACAGTTATCAACCATAGTCACTGAGTACAATACCTTCACCCCATTTTCCAGCATCCCTTACCCCTAAATCATTCTGACAAATGACAGTTTACCCTCTGTCTTAGCTACCATTTAATGAGCACCCTTTATGTACCAGGTACTTTGCTAAACACCTTCCAGACGAGATGAAAATCTCCCTAGCCATCTCCATTTTATACATAAGGGAAAAACAGGCTTAGAACAATGAAGGCACTTACCCAAAGTCACACAGTAAGTGGCAGAGCTGGGATTCAAACCTAGGTCTCTCTGCTTCAAAAGCTGGAGCTTATAACCATTAGATTGCCTCTTGGGTCAGCCCCTGCTTTGTCCCACTTTGAGGCAGCTCTTAAGTTCTTGCAGATGTCGAAGCAAATTTGAGGCTGGGCCTTGATTTTCCTATCTCTTATATGAGCAGTTTGCACTGGCTCTTGGTGAAAGCTCTTTCCAGCTCCAGTAGGATAAAAGAACTAGGGGATGTTTAAGTTGACTAGCTGAAAGAAGAGGAAACTTAGTCTCCTACTTAGTCTGAATAACTTAGAATTAGTGATTTGCCATTTTCAAAAGGCTGAGAGGCTATCGCAGGACTGAAAGAGCATTCATTAAGTCAACATTTTTTTTTTTGCTGAACACCTACTTAGTTCCAGACACTGTTCTAGGAGCTAGGCCACAGGGCTGCTAAGAGTCGCAATCGACTCACACAACAGTTTTGATTTAGGCTACGTTAAGACTTTCAGGGGCCCTAGGCCTTTTTAACTTCATGGACTTTTTTGTCCATAAAATATTAAAAATTATAGTTCACAGCTGCGTTGGTATAAAGACAAATAATCCTACATTCATTTTTTTTTCTTCTGGTTTTAAAAGAAATTAGAACATTCTCATGAGCTCCTAAAAGTATCTTGAGCCGTAGACACTGTGCCTACCATGCCTCGTCGATGAATGAATCCAGGATATAGCAATAAATAAAAACAAATATTCCTGCCTTCATGCAGTTCGTATTTATGCTAAACAAATTAACAAAGATTTCAGATGTGACAGAATGGCTGATGGGAATGCTTTTAGATTGAGAGATCGGAAAAGGTCTCCCCAAGGAGTTACATTTAAGCTGAATGCTGAATGACAAAGAAGAAACCAGCCTTGCAAAAATCAGGGCAAAAGAACATTCCAGGCAGAGGGAATAGTAAAGGCCCTAATGCCGAAATAAACCTGGCATTTGAGAGGAACAGAAAAAGAGAGGACCATGTGGCTGGAGCCAGCTTGTTCCTTGCAGACCTACAGGACAGTTGGGATTCATATGTGAAAATGTTACAAAATGTGAGGAAAGAACTTTTTTAAAACCAGAGCTATCCAACAACGAAAGGGGCAATCTTGAGAGGGAGTGCCTGGCTCCTGGGGGTCTGTTTTGTAATCCCTAGTCACCTTTTTTAAGGAGCCCTGGTGGTGCAGTGGTTAAGTGCTCAGCTGCTAGCTGAAAGGTTGGTGGTTGGAACCCACCAGCTGCTCTGTGGAAGAAAGATATGGCAGTCAGCTTCCATAAAGGTTATTGTTGTTAGGTGCCGTCGAGTCGGTTCCAACTCATAGTGACCCTATGTACAACAGAACGAGACACTGCCCAGTCCTGCACCATCTTCACAATCGTTGTTATGTTTGAGCCCATTGTTGCAGGCACTGTGTCAGTCCATCTTGTCTAGGGTCTTCCTCTTTTTCACTGACCCTCTACCTTACCAAGCATGATGTCCTTCTCCAGGGACTGGTCCCTCCTGATAACATGTCCAAAGTACGTGAGATGAAGTCTCACTATCCTCGCTTCCAAGGAGCATGCTGGCTGTACTTCTGCCAATACAGACTTTTCCTTCTTCTGGCTGTCCATGGTACATTCAATATTCTTTGCCAGCACCATAATTCAAAGGCATCATTTCTTCTTGGTCTTT